GATTCACCGCCATCTCTTCAGTCTGCCATGTTCTGCTCGTCGCCTGTGATCGTTATATTTTTATAGTTCACTACATGAAGTACCATTCTGTTGCAACCAAACGGCGAGCGATCGCTGCCGTTATTTTTGTGTGGCTGCTTTCTCTGGCATCTTCCCTTGTTCAGTTGTCTTGGTACATTTTTCATGGCATTGCCCTTACTGAATATGAAGATGTAACAGAAGATCACAACAAGAGGTACAGTCTTGCTTGCATCGTGTTATTCTTTACTGTTCCTTTAATAACAATGTGTTACATTTATGGAAGTATTTTTTACATTTCTTTTAAACGTATCGAAAGAGATCGTGGACTTAGCAACACTTTTCAGCGGCCTTCTCGATCGTTACGTCATGAATGGCGAGGACGCAGTGTTTTGTTGATCACAATGGTTATCTTCTCTTGCTGCTGGTTGCCATTTTTCGTGGCGATGCTTGATGACCACATGAACACTTCAGAGCAGTCTTCCATGTCACCTTGGGCGCAACGTTTGCTAATTTTTCTTGGCTTTCTTCCTTCTGTATTAAATCCGATCCTGTGCACATTAGCTAAGATAGATTTCCGTCGTGCGTTAAAGCAAATAGTAATCCAGTGGAAAAGGAAGAATTCGTTCGCCGATTTTGAGGTACACCACGAACGAATATGTCTAAAAGTTCCTGGAATATGAGAAAAAAATTATTATAAACTTCCTTTAACTGAAAATTATTGATTTATCATCTGGTCATTTATCAAGCGTGTTCAAAGGTAGAATTAGGCCTTTCCACAAATACGGATATTTTTGGGCATAATCGATAAAAGTGCCGTTTTTTGTCACTGACTTGTATCAGGAGCTAATGGGCTCCTGCTTGTATATATATTTTTTATTTTATTTTGCTAAAATATACAAGTCAGTGACAAAAAACGGCACTTTCATCGATTATGTCATCTCCTGACTACATTTACTCAATTTTTAAACATTTTGGGGTATATTTAGAAGTTTCCAAAATATCTGGAAAATGTTGGGATGCTTAGAAATTTTCGTAGCTTAACCCTGTTTTTTCCTCGCTATTTTCTTAAAAACAATACTCAGTTCTATGCCAGAAACGATCCAGTTCAGCGATTTCAACTCCAAAAATGTTCTCTATATTATTACGCGCTAAAGTAACAATTTTTCAAAATGGCGGATGCTCCATGGCATGGTAACATCGAAGTGCCTGAATCTTCTACCTTAACTCCTACAACTGCAAGAAACGGTTGAAAATCTTGAACCTAATTTTTTCAAAATCGGTTTATTTCAGTTTAAAACAAAAATAAGAAATATTTAAAAGGTTTTTCGAGATATTTAGAAAAAAAATGCGTGATATTTAGAAATGTTTTTAAGAATCTACGGAAAGAAATTTACGTGGTTTTACGTGATATTTTTGGAAAGGCGTAGGAAGCCTCTACAAAAACGTGGGAACAAAACA